CAGAAGTTATCATAGAATTAGTTTTGAATACCTTTTCAACTCATGAGGCACCAACCGACTTGAAGAACGTGAAAGTGTCTCCCAACAAATCGAATGGTACATGCTAGAAGTTGCATTTATCATGCATACATGATTTTTCTGCCAGGTGCTTCCTTTGATGACACATTAACTTGGTAATGAAAATTTTGTGATTGTAGTTTGACATTGAGTTTCATTTTTCCCCATCTTTCAACATGTATGAATAGTGAATGCTCACACGGCTAATGTTCCATAGTGATAGAAACTGCTCATGTACTACATCCAATTTTGATGTGTGGAGAAATATAATTTTCTGTTTGAATGTTTGATAGGTGCTTTGCAGTTCTAAAAAGCCATTGAGACTATGTTAGTAACTTCTTTTTTGTACCATAGTGTTGGCTTTAGATGTGGATTTTGAGATTTCAGAGCACACCATGAAAATAATGTTGAGAAGAAATGGGTAGTATACTCTATACTACTTTTATGGATTTTGTAATTTATTTGTCTCTCTTTTGTTATGCTCTTGAGAAAATGGTGTGGTGCTGGGGCTGAAAATAAAGAAAATAGTATCTGCCCATGTATACACTTGGTCTACATAGGAATTAAGTCGTAAAAGCCATCTTTTGTTCTCTCCCTTGTGTGGATTAGTGGATACTAAAATTGGTCGAGCAGATAACAATTTTCCTGTTCTTTCATCCAAACCTGGCTAATGCATGCTAGTAATTGAGTTGAAAAACCTCAAAGACAAAAAAATTGGCACCTCAGATGAAACAAGATATCAGTGTTACAGTGAGATCCATCCCACTTCATACTTCTCCTGTCTCTGGTTTCATATCATCTATATTGGCCGATATAGTTTTAGGAAATTACTGCATGAGATGTTAGAAGACAATAACTTGCAATTTTTTACTCCCTGAAGTCTTATGGGATGCAAAATTGAAAAGCAGGGATGAGCCTTTAAATAGTGATTAGAATGATGGAGAGTTGGGGGAAATCTGAACAAGTTGTTCTTGTGATTTCAGAAGTTAGGTTTTCCCAGTGCTTTGGATCTGCCTAATGGATCATGGGTGGTGGTTGCTGGGGACTCCCAGGTGCATTTGCTGGTTGTTTTGTAGTTGAACTTGATTGGCATATCAATTGAGATTTAGTTGATGGTATTGGGATGAATTTGGGCTTCATTTGGCATCTTGACAAATGCAATGATGAAAATTATTAGAAATAGGAACTACTGTTATTTTTTGGAAGTCATTGCAACGTGTCAGAATATGCTGCATGTGATGAGTTCCTTATATTGTGCTGTTTCCTTATAGTTATTTAGGGAGTTGCTGGTTTTGTTGCTTCCTATTTCTCCTAAATTTGGTACTCTGGAATAAGGGCATCTGGATCCATTGCAATTCCCCATTTGGCTGGGTTTGGCCTGCCAATGTTGATAATCTTGATGTTTTATATGAAAGAAAGTAGGAAAGATTGGTATTTGATGTTGCATGATACTTCTGATGAAGAGTTTTAGACAAGTAAGATCTTGTACCAATTTGGCAGACCATTTAGTCTCTTAGTGGATGCTTAGAAACGTGGAGATTGGTGTCCGATTGATGGATGGATTAGGAGGAGCTGTCTATGAAACTGCTTTTTGTTATATGCTACATGCATTAGTTGTTGAATTTTTTTTTTTTTATTTATAAGAACATTAATTGTTGAATATAATCAGAAGCTATGGTAGGAATAATGAATAATATACCTTCTGCTATGTTTTAATTCCTCCTGCTTTCATTTTCTGTTCGAAGTTGGTGTTCTATTCAGAAGCAGGACGAATGGAAGAGTCAAAAGAACGAAACTGGTTTCTTCCAGGATGCCTTATTCGTTCACTTGGTCGTTCAGGTATGGTGTTTTTTGTTACATAAGAGAATGTTCTATTGGTTATTGTCATATACTAGATTTTTTATCCTTGTGAATATATGGTTGAGCGTCCAATCGGATCTAAAACTGCTTCATAAATCCTTCCTCTTCTTTTTATTTTTGTTTGGAAGAAATGAAAAATGAACCCTCGGCTTTGGCAAGGATTGAAGAGGCAAGACTCATTGATCTCTTAATCGGGAGAATTTTTTGACCTGTTATACATGCTATAACTCCATATAAATGAACCCATTATGTGAGGCAAGAGAGATAATAGTGTTGCTCAAGTGAATAATAGACGCAAATAAACATGTTTGTTTTCCTCTGTTTTCTTCACATTTTATTACCTTAACTGGCAAGAACAAAAGGAACCTATATATACCTTTTAACATTGAGATATCATCATTTCAAAGTGGCAACATTGACAGTTTAATTTGTTTGTTTACATTTCAATGATCTACCTATGCTCTCAAAACATAAAAAAGAACAAAAAAAAAAAAAACTTGTTCCACAACATCACTTGCACTCTTACAACTATTTCCCCTAGCTACTCCAAAGCCCCACTTCTCCCCCACAATGCAAACTATCCCTCCCAAAGCCATTTCAGTAAAACCAAAAAAAGGGTTGTCTATCCATTTAACTTCTAGTGGTTTTTAAGATTGGAACTGCTTCCCTTCAAAGGTCTGCCCAAAGTTCCAATTGTTGGGAGCAACATTGTATGATGTAAGAGTGACCCCACCACCACTAGTGAGCTCAAATGAAAGAGGTTGATGCTTCAAATCAGCATTTATGTGCCAGTTTTGGCCCCAGTTCCTACCCATCGGAAGCCATCCAGTTCTTGAACCCTTGATCTTCACTGCTGCTATGTCACCAGTACCAGCAACATTGGTGATTAGTACTGATAAGAATATTCCAGCACCATCAATTGCAAACCGAACACCTCCTTCCTTTCTGCATTTGATCCTGTCCAGAAAAAAAATAATGGGGTGAATAACAAAAAGCATAATTCTTTTCAGATGAAAGTAATGGAGTTAAATTTGCATCTTCCAATAGAGTGATGAAAAAAATCTGTGTGGTAAAAAGAAGATTATATTCCTGATTGATAGGACCAGAAAAAAGAAACTAATTGAAATCATGTTGAAGCTCCTTAACATTATCAATTCCTCCACATGCTCTAGGTATTCTACTTCTACCGAAATAATGATTCAAGAGAGATCCACATGCTCCCAGTTTGCGAATATAAAACCCCTCAATTTAGAATTCAAGTGCATCCGCTTGTCAAGGCACTAGTCATAAAATTCTGTATAACCATCCTTCTTAACTACTGCGAGAAGGAAATTCTTCCACTTGAGGGGGGTGTTCCCATGCTAAACCTCCTTCAAAAAATTTATCCTATGCCACGACAACTCTGGAGCCAAAAATCAGCAAGCACTTTCCCTATAGCTTTCCAAAAATCCAGAGAATAATTGTATCTTGTCGCCTTCTGTCTCCAAACACACATTTCTCTTGAGCAGACTTCTTTGAATCTACTGATCCATAAGAGCGAGATTCACCATTGTAAGATGTCCAATTCCAAGACCACCTTATAGAATCCCAATTACCAAACAATCGCAGATGCGATATATCCACCACAAGAAAGGGAAAAAAACACAAAAAGCATAGCAACTTTTCCAGCTTAGTCACCACCGAAAATGAGTATTTATTATTGTATCGCAATCTATGATTGATGATTGTCAATTTGTCATGGCCAAATGCTTGTTTCTTGTAACAAGCATATAAATTATTGCTTCTTGTAATTCCAAGTAATATTCATACGAAATTTTTTTTTGGCCAAAGAGAGTTCTATCTTAATATCAAAATCACTGTATAATGAAATAAGTCCCGGACAGCAAACACTATCGAAAACTATAAATGTAGTTGCTGAATACCGTCTGTTAACAACCAAAAAGTTAACTAGTGCCTCTGCTCTGTGGTAACTCACAGTCACTATGCAGGATCCGTGTTTCAATGAGTATCCAGGTCTTAATCCCATTGTCTATATGATTGCATGTGTAGAGGTCGGTGTGCATGTGTGTGTGACATAGAGAGTTTGCAACAAGTTGCAATTAGGCAGATTCTTTAAGGTTGCAATGACAGAGGGCATAAGGAGGGTTAATCAACCACAACAAATCGCCCTTGCATGGTTCAAATAAGAGAAATCTGGCCAATAAGGATAGATGTGGGTGAAGTTAAAGGCCTCATGAAGACAAGGAAGCATGCTAAACACTATACAATTAAAGGTTTGAGGTAGTCATGTAATAGACTAGTGATAGATGCACTAGTCCTAAAGTACATGATCATACATTAGACCATAACCACAAAAAAATATATTGACCCACTTAGACTTTGGTCACACCTCAAAATTTCATCATATTGGTTTTAAGGAATTGCTACATTAATCCATTTTTCTATTTTTCCAGTTCAAGATGCAAGAACACCACAATGAGGAAACACCTTCAAATTTCATCATGTTGGTTTTAAAAGATGGCTTCCACCACAATGAGGAAACACACTCCTAACCCTCATGACATGAAGATTACCCTCACTTGGTAGCCTCACCAAAAAGGTTTTCTGAGCTTAGGACTAGCATNTTTTCTATTTTTCCAGTTCAAGATGCAAGAACACCACAATGAGGAAACACCTTCAAATTTCATCATGTTGGTTTTAAAAGAAGGCTTCCACCACAATGAGGAAACACACTCCTAACCCTCATGACATGACGATTACCCTCACTTGGTAGCCTCACCAAAAAGGTTTTCTGAGCTTAGGACTAGCATGACTATAGAACATTTAGCTGGAACACAATGTACCATCACCTGGTAACCTCACCTAGGAAGTTGTCTAAGCTTAGGACCAGCATGATTATATAAATTCTCAAAAATTTTATCCGTTTCCAGTTTGTTTCCATGTTTCCAAAACATTTTTTAAACATTTCCATTTCTAATTCTAAGGTGAGCAAAACAATGTCCCAAACAAAAATTTGATCTTTGATTTTAGATAATTGAATTTGTACACAATATAGAGACTTTCCCCCAAAACTCTACTCTCCAAAAATGATCTTCCCACGCCCAAGTTTTGAATAAACTTAATAAGAAATATTACAGGATTGTTCACACTTAGATGAAAATTTGACAAAGAAACATAAGACTACTCGTGGAACAAACTAGAAAAGCAAAAATCATCAAAGAATCTATTCTTGTGTCTGTGGAAAGTAAAGCCACAACACTAGCACACTAGTACTACTTCAAAAAAAAACTAAGTGGTTCAACTGAGAGAAGTGGGGTACGAGCCCCCACTCAGGCGCATGTTAGCATCAAAGCAAAGAGTAAAGTCGAGAAAACAGAAGAAGAGAGACAGAATCAAAGCAGAAGAAACAGACAAACAACTGAAAATTGCATCCAACCAAGTGAGAGATATAGTGTAAAATACCTCCGATACTGAATGGGCATATTGCTAGCCTTCCAAATCGCAATCTTCTCAAACGCCTCAATCGGCAGAACAAAATGAGCATTAGGAACATTGCAATGACCACCGCCGTCAGGAGCGAACCCATAATTCGGAGCACAGAAATTAGTCGCCGTGACAATGATCGACGTTCCCGGAATGCACCACCGTAGGTCCTCCACACACCTCACCTCGAAACACGCGCCGCAGATCTGACCTCTCTCGAACAACACTGTGCTCAGCCCCGTCGTGGCCTTTCCGTACCCACTCTTCTCTAGGTCGCCGTACCCGCAAGCGCCGCCGACCACGTCGCGTGGATCGGCGGCGGCGTAGTAGGTGGCCCGGGCGGGTTTCCAGTCCGATTGTGGGGTTGTGGAGTATGGGGATGTATCAGAGTGATAGTGGGAAAGAACTAGTGTTGTTGCTGTTGATAGGAGGAGTAGCAGTGAAATGGGTATCAACTGTTGGAGCAAGTTAGTGGGTGACATTTTTGGGAGAGAGAGAGAACGGAGGTCAAGGTTTCAAAGCATTTGATTGTGTTGTTGGGTTTACCAGCACAAGTGGGAATATATCACTCTGTTTTTCCACTTTATTGGGTTATTTGCTGTTTGGTGGCATGAAGATCTGAAATTAGTGAGCTTTTGAGGTTTTTTTTTTGGCCCTTGGGCAGATCTGTCGACTATCTATAAAGGCTGCTTTTAAATTTGTAAATGGTTTGCAACTCTGAACAGCTGGAGAACATTTGTTCCGATGCCGTCATTTATAAATTTTGTCAGTTTTTTCATAAACTTTGAGAGTTATTTATAATTTTTTAAGATTATTTGTAGTTTTTAATTTCAAGTAACCCTCTTGACAANTGGCCCTTGGGCAGATCTGTCGACTACCTATAAAGGCTGCTTTTAAATTTGTAAATGGTTTGCAACTCTGAACAGCTGGAAAACATTTGGTCCGATGCCGTCATTTATATATTTTGTCAGTTTTTTCATAAACTTTGAGAGTTTTTTTATAATTTTTTAAGATTATTTGTAGTTTTTAATTTCAAGTAACCCTCTTGACAAACAAGAAAAAAGAGGTTGACGAGCAGTTCCTTTCCAAAAAAAAAAAAAAAAAAACCGAAACTCCAATCAATAAATGAATGGAGGGATGAATTGAATTTGAATATAAAGAAGATTTTTGAAATCTCCTAAAAATTGTAAGTCTGAAAAGTTAAAACTTGGATCATAAAAAGTTGTAATATGATTCCAAAAATTGTATTTTTTTTTTTGGTTGTAATCAAATCAAAAAATTTATATTTCAACCTACAAAACTTATAAACTTTAATGGTACAATATCAAAATAATAATTATTGCTCATGCTTGAAATCACGAAGTAATAAAAAAAATGGTGAATAATAAACATATTTGTATTTAAACTCAAAATCAAATCACAAATATAGAGAAGAGAAAAATAAATTTAAACATCAGTTTTAGTGGAGCAGAGCGGTGGTGGGCGGTAGTGCTGTTGGTGGGAGACGGTGATGGTTGTGGGGGATGGTGACGATCGTGTTGGTGGCAACGATGATGGTGGTGGTGGGTTTTGGGTAACGATGGTGCTGCTGGCAGTCATAAATGACGACGGCAGTGATGGTGGTGGGGCGACGACAATGATGGGCGATAACAATGGTGGTGGGCGACGAAGGGTGTTTCTAGGCGATAATATGATGGGTGGTGGCAAATAGCGGTAGTGGTGGTGGTGGTAGATGTGGTGGGTGACAATTGGCAATTACGGGTGGTGATGGTAAGGATGGTGGAGGTGGGCGACAGTGGTTAGTGGTAATAGTGGGCGATGACGGGTGGTAGTGGGTGGCNGACAATTGGCAATTACGGGTGGTGATGGTAAGGATGGTGGAGGTGGGCGACAGTGGTTAGTGGTAATAGTGGGCGATGACGGGTGGTAGTGGGTGGCGGTGGGCAACAACAGTGGTGGTGGGTGTTGACAGTGGAATGATGGTGGTAGTGATAATAAATATAAGAATGAGATGATGATGGTGGTGGGTGGTAACGGTGGACGATGGTGGTGGCGGTGGATGACGATGGTAGCAATCGATGATGGATGGAGATGGTGGTATTAGTGGNTGGATGGCGGTGATGACGGTGGTGGGCTAGCATTGGCGATGGTAGTAGTGATAGTCATAGAGGTTGTGGTGGGGGGTAGTGGTAGCGGCGGCGACGTTGATGGTGGTGGTGGAGCAATGGACATGATGGTGGTGGTGGAGTGGTGACAGTGGCAATGGTGGTGATGATGGTAGTGGTTGTTATGGTAGATGTGGTGGTGGGTTGGCGACAATGGTGGTGGAGGTGGTGGTAACGGTGATGGTGGTGGGGTAGGTGGGAATGTTGGTGGTAGTTGCGGAAGTGGGGTGGTTTCAAACAAAATATTTTTTTTTTTAAAGTACTTATGAGAAGTTATAAGTCTTATAAACTCTTTTAACAAGTTACCCCAAACATATCTTTAAGGGCCTATTTTTTCTATTAAATTTGAGGTATTAATATTATCTATTGGATTAACTTTAAAGTAAAATTTAAAGAGATTTCAACCGCGAAAAGCAAAAATTATTTTGTTTATCTTTTGAAATTTGAATTATATTGTACTTTATAGATTTTTTTNGCGAAAAGCAAAAATTATTTTGTTTATCTTTTGAAATTTGAATTATATTGTACTTTATAGATTTTTTTTCAATACCATAGTCTTCTCTGGAACTGTGGGATTCAATATGACAAAACACTATCAAAACAATAATTTGAAGATTATCATAATGAAACCTCGAGTAGAAACGAATAAATTGCCCAACTCGTATGTGCATCCCTTAAGAGAAATTTTTGTTGTAGTCAAATAGAAAGACAAATGCAATCACATTTTGCACCTTGTTGAATAAGATTGTAAAATATCACTTAAGATGTCATACGAGCTTATGAGTACTCAAATGGATGGAAGAAAAGTTTAGGATTCATCCGTTAAGATAAAAAAATTACATTTGATGATGCACAAAATAGTTTTGCACACCACCTGTCAAGTGTGAATAATAAATGCAAGAGTAAAGTAAGGAGATGGAGAGACACAAGCAATTTATAGTGGTTCGGTCAACGTGACCTACGTCCACTCTTGAATGACTCTTCTCGCCGGGTATTTTATTAGCTCAAGGGTATGGGGAGCAGAGAATACAAGCTTTGAAGGAGAGGAGAGATTTGTGCTCAGGTAAGTGTGTTGTCATGCCCCCCAAGTGTTGGTGGGGTTTACAATTTATAGTCGTTCTCCTAATAGATTTGGCGCGAGGTATTAGTAACTAACTGGTTAGTTTGTTAGATCTGGTGAACTCTTCTCAACGTGCGGGACAGTTACGTGCTCTCCATAAGATTCGGTCAAAGGATGAGATGAGGTGTTGACCATCTCCAGAGCAGTGAGGATAAGGCTTTGGATGACCTTGCTTGCTCCCTTAGCTCCTTAAGCTGCTAAGCTTGACCGGACTGACCATATTGATGAGCTTAATCGGGTTGACCACACTGGGCTGGATTCATTGGATCTCTTAGAGTCGGACTATAAACTTGAACTGAGCTTATAATATGGGTTGGGCTTTTGGGCTTGGCCCATCATTTGCCTCCCAATGTTCTGTGTCCAATGAAACTTGGAAAGGAGGGCATTCAATTAAGTTTGAATTTTCGACTGACCGACACAATTGAAAAAACTTTGGGAAGCCAAAACATCTACTTCCAAGTCTTTTTTGGACTTTTTACAAAATTAGTCATAGATAAAGGTTGTGAGTCTTGTAGGGCTCGCCGAGAGTTTCGATTTGATATATTATAAGCCTCATTTGGAGTAATGGAGCAGAAGTTACGGTCAAAACTTTGAGCATAGAGCAGCCGAGTAGTTTGGGCAAGCAGACAACTTTGTGGTGAGCTGGGCACGGTCCTAGGCGAGCTGGGCAGATTTTTTTTTTTTTTTTTTTAAATTTCGGGAGGCTAAAACATCTGTTTCTGGGCCTTTTTTAGACTTTTTACACCATCTTGTAGCGCTCGTCGAGAGCTTCGATTTGATATATAATAAGCTTCTATTTGAAATTATAGAGTAAAATTTATGGTCAAAACTTCGAGCAAGCAGCTAAGCGCACGTTTTGGGAGAGCAGACAGTGTTTTGGGCGAGCATAGGGTTGCCTTGGGCAACCTGGGGGTGGGATGCTTAACCGTCAGGAGCTAGAGGTGTAGCCTGAGATGTATGGGCATCAAGAGATGGAGGTGCAGCCTCCGATGTCTGGGATTTTTGGGCACCAGGAAATGGAGGTGCAGTCTGGAATGCCTGGGCATCAGGAGTTAGAGGTGCCACTTTAGGCACTGATCTGGGCACCTTTGGAGCTGTTTTGTGCAACTTTGGAGGGCTAAGCAGCGTTGGGCTGCCCTGTTTGGGCAAGCAAAGGTGGTCAGGTACTTCTCCAAGTGCTAGGCTACCTCGTTTGGGCGAGTATAGAGCGTCAGGCACCCCTCCAAGTGCTAGGCTACCTCGTTTGGGTAAGCACATAGGATTAGGCACCTCTCCAAGTGTTGGGCTGCCTTGTTTGGAGAGTACATAGGATCAGACGTCTCTCTAGGTGTTGGGCTGCCTCGTTTGGGCGAGCAAAGAGCGTCAGACACCCCTCCAGATTCTGGGCTGCCTCGTTTGGGCGAGCACATAGGATCAGACACCTCTTTAGATGCTGGGTTGCCTCGTTTGGGGAGCACATAGGATCAGGCGCCTTTGGAGCCTGATTGTGATGACAAAAATAATGTTATTCTAAACATTAAAATATTTCACATAATTATCTGTAGGGAGAGGTAGGCTACTTGCGCGAGAGCAAAGACAGAGTTGGAGAACTGCTCGCGAGAGAGCTACACCTTTTGAGACCTAGCTTTTGGCAACCCATGAGAGGGTCTTTAAGCTTGAGGTATATGATGTCTGTTTGAAAACAGCGTAAAGGCCAAGCTTTTAGCGATCCGTGAAAGAGCCACTCAACTGGAGATATAGGATGCCTGTTTAAGAACAGTGCAGAGGTCAACCTTTTGGCGACCCGAGAGAGAGTCACTAAGCTGGATATTGAGACTGCATATTCAAGAACAGTGCAAAATTTAATTTTTTGGCGACCCGCGAGAGAGTCGCTAAGTTTGATATTGAGGTTGCCTGTTTGAGAATAGCGTAGAGGCCAAGCTTTTGGCGACCCGTAAGAGAGTCGCTAAGCTAGATATTGAGGCCACCTGTTTGAAAACAGTGTAGAGACAGGCCAAGCTTTTGGCGACCCGTGAGAGAGTTGTTAAGTTGGATACTGAGGCTGCCTATTTGAGAACAGTGCAGAGGCAAGTCAAGCTTTTGGAGATCCGCAAGATGATTCTCCTCGCTTGGACCTGTTGATTTCCTTAGCATTTATATATTTTTGAGATTTTGCCAATAGTTTTGACATGCTCTTTGGTGGTCGCTTTATTACTGAAAAAAGAAATCTGGATGAGTGGAGGCCTCCCAGAAAGGTGGTCATGGTGACTTTGTCATTGGGCTCCTCGATTTGGAGGACCTCCTCGTTAAAACGAATGAGGTAACTCCTCAATCTCTCGTCTCGATCCTGTTTTATGTTAAGCAGATGGGTGACAGGCTTTTGTTGG